ATATATTCATATTCATTCCCCCCTTCCATTTTTCTACTTGTGCTGAAAGAGCTGTGGTGATGCAGCAGTTAAGCTCTTGGCTCTTAAAGATGTGACAGCTTGTTAATGTTAAGTTTGTTGTTATGTAGAATTGAGTTGGAACCGACACCTCCAGTGGGTTTTCGGAGGCAGTAAATCCCATGGGAAGAAATTGCCCATCTTTCTGCTGCAGAGTCAGTGGTGGATTCGAACTACGCAGCTTTGAGTTGGCAGCACAACTCCTTGCCACTAAGCCACTAGAGCTCCCTTCCGTGGAGTTAAAGCCTAGGAAGTCCTATGCGGCAGGACTGCTTGGCCTCACAGGCTCACTGTGTGTCGGAGTCAGCTCGAGGCCACACAGCAGCAGCAAGTCATTGTGCTAGTATTTTCCGTTTCCCCTTTAACTTTCATGACGTGATAGTTGCTTTCCTATTCAGGCTTGAATGAGCCCAGTGTGGTGGCATGTTGGCATTCTCTCAAGGAGCCCCCACTATGTTCATTTTCTTCCCAAAGCCATCCTTAGCATTCCCTAGAATTCAGAACTTCCCGGGAGCTCGGTCTGCAGGGACAGAGGCGCTGCAGGCCATGTTGTCTGCACTTACTGAGCTGTAAGAGAATGCTGTCGTTGGCATCTCCTCTTCCCAGTTGAGAAGCCCAAAGGACAGGGCAGGAAGCCTTTGGTCTTTCTTGCTTGAGACCTTCAGTCTTCCCAAGCCTCCACTCCCTGCTGTCTGCTGAATTAAGCAGCACTTCATTTTGGGACTTGGTTTGTTATTTTTAAGATGTGATTTGAGTGAAAGTTTTCAAAGAAGATTGGTTTTCATGTGTATTTTGGTTTTTTACATTAACTATAATTCCCACCATGTAACAACACTCTTCCCATTTCATCCCTGTGATTCTTGTTTCCTCTTAGTCCTTCTATCCCTACCCCTTGCTGCATCCTGGGCTTTATCCTCGAGCCATTGCCACTCTTTCTGACCCTCCATGGCTGGTTATTCTAAGGCCTGCATCCCTGGTGCTACTGTCCACCTTATAGGCCTGTCTAGTGTGTGGCTGAAAGTTGAGTCTCAGGGCTGAACTTTGCTCCAGGGGTGACTGAGGGCCTTCGCCTCGGGGCTTCCACCAGTCTCTCTAGGCCTTGTTTATCTTTTTGACTCTTGTTTCAAATCCTTCCCTCCCTTCCTCCAGTCTATCTCGAACTTTCTAATGCAATTCTTTTTAGAGTGTCCCCTGCCTCAGATTCTGTTGGAGTTTAGAGGTGAAGCAGGGATCAAGCTTCAACCCTGTCGCCAGGTCTCGTGGCTGGAAGTTGTGTCGCTAAAGATGTGAAGAGAGATGAAGTCATGTGCTGCAGATGCCATTCTGGGGCTTCAACCCTGTTGCCAGGTCTCGTGGCTGAAAGTTGTGTCACTAAAGAGGCGCAGAGAGATGAAGTCATGTGCCGCAGATGCCATTCTGGGGCACCTGGGCATTTCAGTCCAGTTCGCCAGGCACCACCTGGTCCCACATGTGGCTGAGAACTTGGCATCCCTCCAGGCCTGATGCTCTCTGTGTGTTTCTGATTGGTCCTCACAAAATAACTCAGCAGGACATGCTGTCTTCCTTGACTTTTGAAACAAATACTTAGGTGTTTCAGGCTCAAAGGCTAAGTGAATTTGCTTCTTTTCTCCATCAGATGTTACTCATTTATGTAAATTATGGCATGTATGTAGCAATGTATTTGCCGTTTGTAAGTATGTAGTCAAGGTGCGCCTAAGCCAGTGTGTTACCCAGTGGTGCCTAGAGAAAGCTTGACCAGATGTGTGAGCTCTGAGCCTAACAGCTGGCTGTGCTGGTCCATGGGGAGGCTTTGGGAAGCCACTGCGTGTCTCTAGGCTCCGTTTTCACCTTTTGTAAGCGAGCTTGTTCAGGATCTGCACAGAAGCCTCGGCTTGGTGTGACGCAGTGAGTGCTGCAGGCTGGTGGGTTAAAAGCGGGCAGACCCGCCCAGTCCATGGACTTGGGGGACCTGCAGGCTGTGGGCTTCCCCTTCTCCGTGGGCATTGTTCCCTGAGGAACGCTTGAGGATTTCAGTGAAAGCATCGTCATCTTCTCCTAGAAGAGGAGAAAGCTAGGTGGTGGCTGCCTGGAGTCTAGTTCATTGGCAGGCCTCTGATGGAAGGATCAGGAAACTGGGTGGTGCAGTGGTTAGAGCAATTGACTGCTAATCCAAAGGTCGGCATTTCGAACCCACCAGTTGCTGCTTGGGAGAAAGTCGTGGCAGGCTGCTGGTGGCCAGACCCCAGCTGTGGATGCCCTCGGGGCTAGCGGCACTGTTCTGCATGATTCCTGTGAGCTTTGTGGGGTTCTTGAGAGCTCTGTGGGTTTCCTGTGATGTAAGTGTGGTCACTGTGAGATCTGCAGGGTCCCTGTGCGGTCCCCATGAGCTCTTTGAGGCCCCTATGAGGTCTGCGGGGTCCTCTGAGCTCTGAGGGGTTCCCATGAGGTCTGTGGCATCCTCATGAGCTCTTTGAGGTCCCTATGAGGTCTGCGGGGTCCTCTGAGCTCTGAGGGGTTCCCATGAGGTCTGTGGCATCCTCATGAGCTCTTTGAGGTCCCTATGAGATCTGTGGGGTCCCCTGAGTTCTGTCAGGTCCCCATGAGCTTTGCGGGGTCACTGTGAGCTCTGCAGGGTCTCCGTGAGCTCTGTGGGGTCCTCTGGAGGTCTCTGGGGTATCCATGAGTCAGGATCAGCTTGACGGCAGTGGGGTGGATGGAGACCAAAGATGCATCCCTCCCACAGATGCCATGGGTGTGGCTGAAGTCATGACCCCTTGGCTAATTTCCCTTGTATCTTTACAGGGAAGCTGTATGGTGACGTTTCTTATGTGGAAGAAAGACACAGGCATCGGTATGAGGTAAGGCCTTTGTGCTCGGTTTCCATGGAGTATGGACCCTGTGATTGTGTGGGGCCACTGGAAAAGCTGTCCTGCAATGGTGACATCTGTGGGGCTCTAGGACATGTGCCAAATCCCCATGGTCTCCACTTTCAGAGGATCCACGTGGAGTGGAATGATGTCTGGCCACAGGGCATGTTGACACTCTGCCACCCTGACTGCATCACCTATGTCAAGGTGCCATCAGCACTGATTTCTCCATAGCCCCCCCGCCCCCTGCCCCTTTCTTTTGCCTTTGGGTAAACAGGGACTTAAAGGAAAGGAATCCAGTGCTGCTAGGGACTCATCCCTGGAGGAAATGACATGAATCTGAGCACCTTAACAGTGGCGTTACTAGAGCTGGGGCCCCCGTTTAAGACTCCATGGTGTCCATTTCCTACCTTTCATGCACTAGCTTCTGCACCAGACCATATAGAATCCTCAGTGAGATATTGTATCAAACGTAATCATGGAATAATGTGCTAAGTAGTGGTGTGAGTTGCTGATAGGTAATGTTTTTACATAATAGGAGTTTTAACATAGATTGAATACACACATGCATGAGGGTGTAATTTGTAATGTGCAATGATCCCCAGTGATCTGGTAAACCACATAGTGCCAGGAGTCTTAAGGGTGGAAAGCAGTGCTCCCTGATCCCATCGTGGCCCTAAACTCTCAAAACTCATTGCTGTGGAGTCAGAACGGATGCACAGCTGATCCTCCAGTAGGTCTTCCGAGGCTGTAAATCTCAAGGGAAGAGACTGCCCATCTTTCTCTCACTGAGCACTAGTGGATTTGAACTGCCAGAGAAGTGCCCTGTTTGGGTTAGCAGCCCAGCTCCCTAAGGGCTAAGCCCCTATAGCCCCCATCACAGCCCTGTTGTTATAACTATGTGCTATTGAGTTGGACTCATTGGATCCAACCCATAACTGACCCTCCGGCGGGTTTTCAGAGGCTGTAAATCACACGAGAGGTGATGGCCTTTCTCCCGCAGAACACCTGGTGGATTCAAACCGTGTGCCTTTGGGATTGCAGCGCAGCTTCTTGCCACGAGGCCACAGGAGCTCCTTATCACAAGGCCAATCAGATGTACAAGGAGTTCCCCTGTGGTGTGGCTTTAAAAACCTTTTACTTCACTAGAAATAAAAGGGGACAAAATCAAGCCAAGATGGGACCTGCGTACCTTCTTGAAATAATTGCTGGGGTGGAGTGCGGCTTTTTGGCCCCCGTGCAGTGAAGATCTTTAATACCCAGGAAAACCAGGACACATGGCAGACTTGAAGGAAAGCTGGGCCTGCAGCTTCAAGGGCACAAGGTCTTGCCTCCGCAATTGACAGAGAAAGAGGGCCTTCCCTTAGAGGCGGCTCTCTGAACTTGGCCTGCCAGTCTCCTAGCTGCAAAGGAGCTAACTCCTGCCTGTTAAAGCCACCCACCTTGTGGTGTCTGTGTTCCAGTAGCATTGGAGAACATAAGACAAATAGCAACACCAAAACTCTTTGCACCTTTCTACCTAGAATCACAACATTATTAGTACCTGAGTAGAAATTGGGGGAAAAAAAGTTTTCTCGCCTTTTCCTTTAATCGTTATCTTTCATTTAAAAAATATTATTGTTGGCAAGAAGCTGCACTGTAATCTCAGAAGTATACGGTTCGAATCCACCGGATGCTTTGCTGGAGAAGGAGGGGCAATCAGTACCAGTCAGATCCAATTTGATGGTACACACACAAAAAATAATAAAATAAAGTAAATTAAAAAAATATTATTGTTATTGCCTCATAAATACTAATTACATAATATTGTAGCTAAAACGCCACAAAATTTGACAAAACCAGTGACTATAAAAACAGCAGCAGCAGCTGTGCAACAATGAATGAATGGGGAAAAAATTAAATGGTGAGAATAAGCTGTAAAAAAAGAATATGTTGCATTAAAAAAAAAGAAAGAAAAAAACCACAGCAGCAGCAGTTAAAACATCTGTGTGCTTGTAGTGGTACAGACAAAACTACATTCAAAGCATCGTTGATATGTAGTAAAACTGACACATCCAGTGCCCGTTAGAAGATTCAAAAAGGAAGCTTGACATAGAGTTTTAGCCTTGTGGGTATATCAGTACGTGTACTGGGCTTATGCAAAATGTCTTTGTTGTTGAACTTCAGGGGTATTTTTATAGAAGTAATACATTTTCTGCTGAAACTCTACAGAAACGTCATTGACAGTCATTGCAGTTGCAGCCCCTCTGACAGGCTGGTGTGGTCCATGCCCCTGAGTGACTCGGCTGCATTGTTGAAATGGGACACCCAGCCCGTTGATGAAGAACCTTTTCGTAAACAGATGAGCCTGAATGGCCCTGCTGACTAAAAACACTTCATTTCCTGTCTTCCCAGGTGAACCCTAAGCTGATTGACCAATTTGAGCACAGTGACTTACGTTTCGTAGCTCAGGACGTCGATGGGGAGAGAATGGAAATAATTGAAGTGGCACGTAAGTGGACGCTTCGTTCTTGAAAAGCTGTGTGGTGCCCATAGATGTCAGAGGATAGAATTTGAGGCCCATTTTTTCATTTCCTCCCTACTTGCCTTTGAGCTACATGTGCAGCTGCCAAGTGCCCGACACAGTTGTTCTTAGGTATCACTGAATGGACTCCAACTTAAAGTGACCCTGTACCCAGTAGACCACAGCTCTATCCGATCGTGTGCCATCAGCACAGCCTCTGCTCTGTTCCGGCGCTCTGTCATAGTCACTGTGTCAGGCCATCTCATCCAAGGGCTCTCTCTGCTTCACTCACCGCCCACCTTCCAAGTATGGTGTCCTCTTCCAAAGACAACAAGCCCAAAGGAAGTGAGGTGAAGCTTCACCATGCTGGCCTCCGAGGGGCACCGTCTGCACTTCCTCCAAGACAGACTTGTTTGTTCTTTTGTCCATCCGTGGAGTATTCAGGACTCTGCTCTAACGTCGCAACGCAGAGGAATATTCAACACTCTTCTGTAACACCACAACTCAAAGTCATCCTTCCTTCTTCCTCTTCCTTACTCACTTTCGCATCCATATGAAGCGGTTGAATGTACTGTGGCTTGAATCCGGCACACCTTGGTTTTTAAAGGGGTGTCCTTGTTCATTGACACTTTAAAGAGGCCTTTGACGGCAGATTTTCCCAGTGCCGCACATCTTTTCATTTTTAAAAAAATTTTTTTTTATCTTTTCATTTCTTGACTGCTACTTCCGTGGACGGAAGGATGAACTAATAGGCTACTTGTAATCCTAATTACCTGAGGGTCCTTTAGTTCTGAGCCTACCAGAAAGTGGTGTGTTGTTCCCAGTCAACCAGTTCTACAAAGAGATGCCACCTTCAGCACCTGCTGCCTCTCTTTGGGGAGTTTGCCTTGTGTGTTAGCCACTAGGTTAAGTTCTCTGGGAAAGGAAGGCACCTCGCTGATTGGTAGCATTCTACTTGTTCTCCTCTGCGGAAAGATGGCACAGTGCCCATCCATCTACTGGTGCCTGGTATTGAGGTCTTTACTCCTAGACCTGCCTCTTGATGCCGTCTGGGCCTCTGCCTTTCCCTACTGCTCATTCCTGATGGTGAATCATGAGCTGGTTTTAAATTTGGGACACTAAAGGCTACACTCAGAGGTTCCTTACGAGCCCAAACACAACACAGAGGGATTGACTTCTACCAAGGAAGAGAGCCTTAGACATCGACTGTCTGCTGGTAACAAAATTGTGTAGATTTAGACAGTGTGTTCATCTTCACCCACTTCTGCTCATTCAGATCTGCAAAGCCATGGGGTGCCCGGGGTAACTGCTGTTCTCCTCTCTTTTTCTTCATGTTGGGCTGCCAACCTGAAGGTTAAAAGTTCAATCCCATCAGCTGCTCCGTGGGAGGAAGAAAGATGAACCTCTTCATGTTTAAGATTTACAGCCTCAGAAAGCTAACGGAGGGCTACTGGATCAAAATCCACTTGATGTTGTAGGAGTTTGGGGTTTGTTTTATTTACTGCTTGGTTCTTTGTAGACATGTTTGCTAAGCCTGTGTGTAAACATCTCATTCCAACTGATGTGAACATTTGGATGTTCTCCTGGCACATGCAACTCCGCGACTTTAAAACAAAATCCACATGCACTCCAGTCTCATCTTTATCTCTGTTAAAGTGCCATCAAGCTCCTTGTCCAAGGCTTGTCAGTCCTAGCCGTGGTGAGGTTTGGAGACTTCTTTACTGTGGGGGAACGTTCTGTGCATTGCAGCATGTTGACCAGCACCCTTGACTAGAAAGCAATCGTTTGCTCCTGCTTCTCTAGGCTGGAACAACCCAAAATGTCTTCTGGCTTTGTTAGATGTTGGTGGAGGAGAGAGCCGAGCCAAGCTGAACTTGTTTCGCTTTTCTTCCCCTTCATGTCCCCAACCTGTAGTGAGTGGTCAAGGTGAGTAGAATCCGTGTTTGGGAGGCAAGCTGAGGCGGGGCTCACATAGCCATGACTGCCCTCAGGCCCGCTGCACAGTGACTCCCCTCCAGCCCTGAAGAGGACAGGGCTAGCCAGTGCAGTGCATGTGCTGTGACTTGGTGGGATGAACGCGTATCGATTGAGCTTGCAGGTTGCATGATGCTCTAGAGCCTGTCTTTTCAGTCTCTGTGCTTCAGGCCCAGGTACCGTAGACTTCTTAGTCTCCTTTTGACATTCCTACTCCTTTCCCTTCTCATCCCGTGTCTCTGTTCTCTACTTCAAACTGCTCTTCTCTCTCGTCTTGCCTTTCTGCTTCTCTTTGTTTGAATACTTAGTTCTGAGCAGGTTGATTGAAGTTCAGAGAAGGTTCTTTGAACACAGCAGTCTTTGACCTGAGCCCTGAGAGCAGGAAACCCATGGATATTCCCCGTGCACTCCCTGGACACCTGACTCCTTGGTGGACACTCTACCGACACTATCGAACTTACAAAGCAAGCGATGCTACTCCCGCTTCACAGAAGATGGACTAGGGTGCCAAGAAGTTAAGGAACCTACCCAGGGCCATCAACTGTCACAGGCTGGCTTCTGCCACCAGAATTCTCTTCACTTGGCTTGTTTTCACGGGACAGTCTACCCAAGATTATCAACCCATGCTTTACTCTTTCATTTTTCTGTTTCTACCATACCTAACATTTTGAACTCGAATTAGAATGTTGTTGTTATATTCTATTGAATCAGAACCAACTCATAGCTGACCCTCCTGTGGGTTTAGAGGCTGTAAATCACACAGGAACAGTTAATTCAAACCATGTGCCTTTGGATGGGTAGCACAGCTCTTTACCATTATGCCACCAGAGATCCCTTTGAATTAGAAAAGTGAGAATATATTTTCTCCCCTCTTCCTGCTGGAAAGGGAAATCATTTGGAATTTTCCCAGTCTGGATCCCTGTTTGGTATGGCATCTCTTCAAGCTTTTTCATGGGAGAGGACAGAGAATTTCTTAAGTTATTGTTTATTTACTTGGTTAAAATACTTACTCTTTTTTCCCCCCGGAGGTGAAAATTTAATAGGAAAAAGTATTATAAGTTATAAAAAGATAGACAGTGAAAACACTTCTTTCCCCTTGGTCTTCCAGCAACCCAGAGGCAACCATTGTCTCCCTGTTATTACTTCAGAGAGAGTGTGCATGTGATGATAGCTTTTCCCCCCAAGAAATACTAGAAATGAAGCCCACAGTTCTGCACCTTGCTTTCTTTAGTTAAGAAGAAATCTATTCTGTTGGAAAATTTTCCCTATCATTGTATTTTTTTCTTACTCATTTTTTCCGCTTACCTTTCTTCTAAATGGTTTTGTTGTTGCTGTTAAGAATAGACACAGCAAAACATAATACCAATTGAACAGTCTCTCCATGTACAATTCAGTGATATTAATGACGTTCTTAGGGTTCTGCAAGCATTCCCCCCCTCCTTTTCAGGGCTGGCCCTCCTTTATTAACTTGGACTCACTGCCCCCTAAGGTGTCCTATCTAACCTTTCCCGTTGCTGTTGTCAATTTGTTTCCATATAGACCGTTCTCACTCACACTCTTCTAACCCTCCTGGTTCTCATTATTGTCAGCAAACACTGAGAAGACGGTTATATCACAAGGATTTAGACTCCCACCAATGCTTTCAAGTTTCCTGGGGCTTGGAAGGAAATGAGAGATGCTTTAAAACCTGGCAGGTTTTGAAAGCTGGCTGCAAGGGAATTCATTTTGTTAAGGGAAAGCCCCTGGAAGACTTTTGATCTGAGTTCACTCTTAGAAGCGTATTCTTAAATCTTCACCATTCCTCCATTCCTAAAAAGTTCGAAAAAGACAGCAAATCTTGATGTTAGTAGAATGTCAGAATATAGTTCAAAGCACTTAAGAACAGTATGCAAGACTGCATTCGATAGAACAGATGAAGAGAAGGACGATGTGAAAGGAATGTACGGTCAGGCATTATATGTATGATAATAATCTGGAACAAGGGGTGCATTACAGGGTGCGCTGGGGAGGGGAAGGGGAGAAGGGGGAAGAAAATGTGCTGCAATGAATATTATTTTTTTAAAAAAGCAAGGTAGCCCCTTAAAAAAAAAAAGGACCATTATGTAAAAGGTCTTTTCTCTGACTGATGGGACGTCATATCAAAAGAACAGCTTTGTAGTCTCATCCCTCATAGTGTCATAGGCGATATTTGTGGAGAGCGATTCAGACCACGAAACATTAATTCAGATATTCTGTGCCTGTCTCTGGCATGATCCATTGCATGACCTCTCTGTATATTGGTACACAAACACAATTGCTTTTCGCTTCTTTCAAAGACATCCTCAGATACAGTGCTGAATGATTTACTGTATCTAGATTTGAAGTTCTACCACTTAGTGTTGTGTTGTACATAGGACCTCATGCACTTACTGCAGAGGGTCAAGGACTGCAGCCTTCAATATGGACTGAGGCTCAATGTCAAGAAGACAAAAATTCTCACCACTGGACCAATCGGTAGCATCAGGATGGATGGCAAAGAGATTGAGATTGTTCACAGCTTCAGTTTGCTCGGCTCCATGGTCAACACTCTTGGCACCAGTAGCGAGGAAATAAAAAAACGTATTGCGATGGGAAAGTCTGCGGTTAGGGACCTCTCCAAAATACTCAAGAGCAACAGTGTCTCTCTGGAGACTAAGGTGCGCCTGATACAGGCCATGGTTTTTGCAATCACTTGTTATGCATCAGAGAGTTGGACAATGACTAGGGAGGATAGAAGGAGAATTGACGCCTTTGAGCTGTGGTGCTGGAGAAGAGTATTGAATGTTCCATGGACTGCCAAGAAAACAAACAGATTCATCGTAGAGAGGATTAAACCAGGCTGCTCCTTGGAGGCAAGGATTCTGGGGCTTCATCTGACATACTTTGGACATGTTGTAAGGAGAGACAGGTCTTTAGAGAGGGACATCATGCTGGGTAGAGTGGAGCCTCTATGAGGTGGATTGATTCAGTGACTGGGGTACTCGGGATGGGTGTGTCAGAGGCAATGAGATTGGCACAGGATACAGCACAGTTTAGGGCTGTTGTACATGGGGTCGCTATGAGTCGCAAACGACTCGACGGCACATAACAACAACAACCACTTAGTTTCTTCTCTTAGTGTGGATGACTTATATTCTGCTTTTTTCAAGGCTGCAATAAGCGTTCACATTTGAGCGTCCGAATTTGAGCAGGCTTCTTTCTTGATGTGACGTAGAGGGTTTCAACACTGGATATTTCTGCACTCATTTCTGTACAAGTATTTGGCAGCATTTGTATATCATAGCTACTAGCCACATGTGACTGTGACTTACATGAAACTTGCTCAATTTTTTTTAAAAGTGTTTTCCTGTTTCAAAAACTTTTTCTTGTGATTTTTAATGAAAATTTACAGAAAAGTTGGATTTTCATTTATTCATTGTTGTATATTTTCTTCCCTCTCCCTTCTATCCCCCTCCCCTAGTTCACTTTCTTTTTTAAAAAATATTCATTCATTGTTGCACATTTTATTGTGTTCTCTTTGAAGATTTACACAGTAGTTTAGGTGGCCATTAAACAATGTCTACACAAGATGGCCGGTGACATTGGCTAGTAATCTGGTGGCACAGTAACAGAAATGTCACAGATTTGGGTGGTCTTAATCCCCTAGTCCGTCTGAATGGAACACCACCGCCTGAGCCCTAGCAGACCCTGTTGTCCTGTCACTGGGTGTGACAGCCTCATCCCCTCAGCTTTGGATGGCAGTCATCCAAAGGTCCCCCTTGTGCAACTTAATAGCAGTTTTACACTCTGGAGCTGAGTTGACAAAGATCTGACTTTTTGAAACTTTCAAGGTTGTAACCTCACCCTTTGAGATCCAGGAGACAATGGCCCCACTCTTTGAAACTGTGCAAGCTCTACTTTGCTTATGCAGTTTTTCTGGTCTCCCAGATGGTCCAGGGATAGTCTTTTAGGACCATGAGTCTGCCTTTGCCTGATTTCTGGGTCCCGCCAGTCAGTAGCCTCTTTCTACAAATTTTAGCAATTAAACCCTTAAATATATTGTGGCCCCACCTTTTTATTTTTTTACTCATCTGTAAATTCTCTTTTTATTCTTTTAGACAATATTTTTATGAGCATAAACATTTCATTTTTAGCTCTCATTTCTCTAGTTCATCTTCTACTGTGTGTGCATATTTTGGGTTTTCCCCCCTTCCATGATCATTACAATCACAGGTTTTCTATTTAGGATTTTGATACATTTTGAGTGAGTTTCTGTTTATGATGTGAGGTATGGCTTTGGGTCCTGTTTGATTTTTCTACAGATGGACATCCAGTTTTGCTAGAAACATTTGTTAAAGAGACTCTTTTTCTCGTTTAATGAACTTCAACTCTTTGTTGACTAGGAGTTGTTTGTAAGTGGACATATCTGTCTTGTTGTTATGTGCCATCGAGTCAGAAGTGACTTGTAGCTGACCCTCCAGTGGCTTTTCAGAGGCTATAAATCACATAAGAGGAGATTGCTCATCTTTCTCTTGAAGAACAGCTGATGGATTTGATCTCCCTGCCTTTGAGTCGGCAGTGTAATGCCTTACCACTAGGCCACCTGAGCTCTGTAGACAATTCTCTAGGATCATATAAAAATATTTCATGAATTTGTGTGCCATTCTTGAGTAGATTCCAACATTGAGATTTGAGACTTGACTTCCCCCCCTTCTTTTAGCTTGAAGAATGCTGTCTTCTCCCTCTTGATTTTCTAATTCCAGGTCTTTACACATTTCATTGAAATGGTTTACTGTATTTTCTTGAAACAGCTTTTGAAATCTTCTTTTCAGATCTTTTATATAAGCATTGAGAGTGGAGGTAGGAATTTGGAATCTTAGAAAGTTTCCACTCCGGGTTGGACGTGTTGTCCATTTAGTTCTTAGCATCCCAAAGTAAGGCATTCTAGAAACCTACTTTTCTGCTTCTATTAATTCGAGACAGCTTGTATTGCTCTGATGGTGCTTCTTCTTGTTTTTTGATAGTTACTGCTGAGTAGATTGCAACTTCTGGATACTTAGAACTCTCAAAATGAAAATAGTGCAATGTCTTCCTCTAATAATATAAGTAGTGCATTCCATATGTTCACTGTAATAGTTCATACAATATAGCAAAGTATAAGGAAGAAAAGGAGCTCAGATTTTTGCCACCTGTCTACATAATGCCATTAACATTTTGGAGACCATCCTTGTATTATAGAGACCTCATCACAAGGACTGCAGTCTTCAATATGGATTGAAGCTCAAATATCAAGAAAACAAAGATTCTCACCACTGGGCCAATTGGCAGCATCAGTATGGATGGTGAAGAGATTGAGATAGTTAACAGTTTTCGTTTACTTGGCTCCACAGTCAACACTCTTGGTAACAGCAGCCAGGAAATCAGGAGACGAATTGTATTGGGAAAGTCAGCTGTGAGGGACCTGTCAAGATTATTGAAGAGCAACGACGTCAGGCTGGAGACTAAGGTGCACCTGATCCAGGCTATAGTCTTTGCTATAGTGCTATGCATCAGAGAGTTGGACAGTGAATAGGGATGATAGAAAGAGAATTGATGCCTTTGAGTTGTGGTGCTGGAGAAGAGTATTGAATATACCATGGACTGCTAGGAGAACAAACAGGTTTGTCCTGGAGAGGGTAAAGCCAGAATGCTCCTTGGAGTCAAGGATTCTGAAGCTTCGTCTGACATACTTTGGGCATGTTGCAGGGAGGGACTGGTCCTTGGAGAGGGACATCATGTTTGGGAGAGTGGAAGGATGGCGTAGGAGAGGAAGATCCTCTATGAGATGGATCGATTCTGTGAGTGGAGTGGTGGGAGTGAATGTGTTTGAGACAGTGAGGTTGGCACAGGATAGAACGGCAATTAGGGCTCTTGTACATAGGGTCGCTGTGAGTCACAAACGACTCGATGGCACATAACAACAACAACAGCATCACTAGTGATAAGCTAGTGGAGGCTGAAATCTGCGTGCTAGGTCAGCTGTGTGGAGGGCAGACTAAGATCCGTTAATATGCAACCTCAAAGGTGACTAGAAATGCAGCTGTACTTTTTGCATTTCTAGGTGTAGCCCTTTGGGTTCTAGTTGTGTTGGTTTATCCCAGGGCATCTTTTCCTTGGGAAGTGAAAGAGTACATTATAGGAAATGGCATGAAGCCATCTAAGAGAAAGAATGACTCTTGTTGTTAGGTGCCGTCGAGTCCAACATGACTCATAGCGACCCTATGAACAAAAGATATGAACCCTGTTCTGACCTGCACCATCCACACACTTGCTGACACACAGGAGCCCAGAGTAGCAGTCACCGTGTCAGTCCACCTGGTTGAGGGTCTTTCTCTCCTTCACTGACCCTCCGCCCTTCCCAACATCATGTCCCTCTCCAACGAATAGCACCTCCTATGAAACATGCCCAAAGTATGTGAGGTAAAGGCTCATCATTCTTGCCTCCAAAGAGCATTCTGGTTGCATCCTCTCCAAGATATATCTGTGTGTTCTCTTGGCCGTCTGTAGGATGTTCAGTGCTCTTCTTCAACACCACAGCTCATAGGTGTCAGTCCTTTCCCTGTCATTCCTATTCATTGTCCAGCTCTCAGATGCATAGCTAGTATAGGAAAGACTATGGCCTGAAGCAGACCTTTGTCTTCACACTGACATCACTACTCCTCAATAGTTTGGAGAGGTCCCTAACTGTAGATTTTCCAAGTGCTGTGTGTCTCCTTATTTCCTGATTGCTGGTACCAAGGGTGTTAATTGTGGATCCAAGTTTCAATCTCCTCTCCATCCATCATGATACTGCCTATCAGTCCAGTGGTAAGAATCTTTGTTTTCTTGATATTGAGACACAATCCATACTGAAGGCTGCATTTCTTGATCCTCTGCAACAAGTGCTTCAAGTCCTCCTCACTTCCAGCAAGTAAAGTTGTGTCATCTGCATAACGCAGGTTACTGATGAGTCTCCCTCCAATCCTGATGCCACATTCCTCTTCGTAGAGTCCAGCTTCTTGAATAATTTGCTCAGCGTACAGATTGAATAGATATGGAGAGAGTATCCAACCTTGGCTTACTCCCTTCCCAATTCCAAACTATGCAGTGCTTCTCTGCTCAGTTTGCACAACAGCCTCCTGGTTCTGAAGAGACAATGGAGATTGGGTCAACATTAGCCTACCAGGGCCTATGATGTGGCAGACTTTGGGCAAGCAGAATTCGCCTTACCAATTGACAAGTTATACTCACTCTAATGCCCTCTTCAGCTGAAATTCTGGATCACTCACTAAGTGATCCATGTTTACAATTTGAAATTCCTCTCTGAAAATAGATAATGAAAGTGATGTTCATGACCATTTCATGAGTTTTGAATCTAAAAATAAGACCTTGAAAGCAGTTTCCGTTTTTCCATCTCAACTGCATCATGCTTGTTCTCATTTCAGATCATCCTTATTTTGTTGGTGTCCAATTCCATCCTGAGTTTTCTTCTAGGCCGATGAAGCCTTCTCCTCCATACCTGGGGCTGTTACTTGCAGCGACTGGGAATCTGAATAACTTTGTGCAGCAGGGATGCAAGCTGTCGTCCAGGTAAGCAGCAGCTTCTGTCTCTTATGGAAGACTCCACTCGCTCAGTGCTTCAATGTCTGCGTCACTCACAGGATTTAATATCATTGTGGTAGAATGTTTTTTTAAAGGATCACTTTTTTATTTTTAGAAATACCATTTTGATAGGTTAAAAAGTGGGGATTTTCTTTCCTTGTAACTATGTGTGAAAAAGATGTTTAGTGGCTATTTGTTTTATCAGTAGCTTGTTCATATCTTTTACCTACCCTCCCTTCGCCCCCCCCCCCCGGTACTTTAAAAAGGAAAAATTTGGTTTTATTCTCTTTTTTTTTGTCTTATTTTTTTTATTTTATTGGGAAAACCATAATGGGGGTACAGGGAGGTGAGGGTTGGAGGCAGAAGGGTGAGGATGGGCAGGGATGCAGTTGCAGAGCTACACAATTTGGTTGGTGGGGGGAGCAGGTGAAGGAAATGAAAAGGATCCAGTGGGGACCAGATGCTACGGGGGAATGGTAAGCATTTTCCAATGGCAATTAAACCAACTGTCTTTTGATTTGGGAACTAGATGCAGACTCTCTGGCTTCTTCATGCTGAACAGGGGCGTTGATGTGAAGGGGGAAAGGGAGGACGCTTTATCACCTTACTGGTGGTCTTGGGTTACAGCTGCTTGCCTTCTTCTTCTGTTAAAAGATACTTTCCTGTCATTTGCTCCCCTCTGGACTGCAAAGTGTTTTCCCAGGTGGGTCCAGTGGGCTGGTTGAACCCAGAGACTCCATCCTCCTTTGCTTCCTTAGCTGGCAGTTGTATTTCCTTTTTGTCACTGGCACTGGGTTCAGGGTCAGGTCTAGAGTAAAACTCAGTGTTAAGGTTACCTATAGGAAAGGGAGCAAACCTAGAGAGAACAAACTTGTGAGTCTACCCTCCCTTTTGCAATTACATTTTTCCCCCCTTACTTACTGTAAACTCTTTATGTGTAAACGAAATCCTTTGTTAGGTTGCATATATTTGTGCCAAGTGATTTCGGTTTTTCTTTTAAGTTGTGAACAGTAGTTTATATTTTCCCAACAGAGTTTTACATACTTGTATAGGTAAATCTTTTCTGGATTGATTCATTGACTGGTGTAATCAGGATGGATGTGTCAGAGGCCATGTGATTGGCACAGGATAGAGCAGGGTTTAGGGCTGTTGTACATAGGGTCGCTATGAGTCACAAACGACTCGACGGCACATAACAACAACAGATTCTGCCTCAAGACCATCCCTAAAATTTTTTTGAAACTGTTATAGTTTGAATTTTAAAGTCTAAGTCACTAATCTATATAGACCTTGTTTTTGGTATAGTTTGTGCAGTAACGATCAGATTTGTTTTCTTCCCCAGATGATTAAACAATCAGAGATTTTGATTTTGTTCCATTGATGGTTTCATCAGTTCTACTGGAACTATTTCTTTCTCATTGTGTTATTGAAAATAAAGCCTTTTCTAACTCTACTCTCATTATTATTTTGAAAGAATGTTTTTATCTATTTCACCAGATTAACTATAGAATTATTTGTAAAAATCAGGTGCAAATAAAAAGTCCTTTCATATTTTAATTTAATTTTACAAAATTTAAATATTAGTTTGGGTGAACTTTTTTTTTCACTCAGGATTATTACATATATTAATCTTGAAAGTCAAAGGAAAGGAACGATCCAGAATAGAGTCATCTCCGATCCATGCCAACCCCGTGTGTGTCAGAAGTCGAACCTCACTCCATAAAGTTTTCAGTTGGTAGCTTTTTGGAAGTAGATTGCCTGGACTTTCTTAGAAGTGGCCTACCAGGCTCCTGTGGCTCTGCTTAAGGGATTTCCTCTGAAGGAAGCGGTTCCTATGTCCTGAGGCTGCGTGGCTTCAGCAGCAGACTGGCCATTACAGTGCGGTCCCATGTTGGATGTGTCCCAGCCACTAGTAGCCTCTATTATTTCAAGTGCCCAGTGAGGTGGCTGGGAGGAAGAATTGAGACCTAACTAGCAGCAACTGAAGGAGAAATTCTAGTTTGCTTTCTGAGGATGGCTTTATGTGCCTGCTCTGCAGCCCGCTTGGTTCCTTCCACCTGGGGCTGGTGGACTCTGGGTCAAGCTCCCTGGCAGTTTCTGAGAAGGTCACTTGCTCGTGACTCCTGAGTGAGCTACAGTGTGTCTCTGAGAGAAGAGGAGAGACCTCTTAGTGAAAGCCCGACGCTGGTACTAGAATGCCAGCTAGCTAATGTGGCTTCCGTGGACTTAGTGGTCCCAAGCTGGTGCATTCCTCAAGGGCAGGCACCATGTGCCTTACCTTTGCCTTCAGCTCCCTCACATGCAGGGATGGTTTGCTGCCTGTTACAGGGATAATTGTAGGTTGCAGGGGAGAGTGAATCTAATCTACTCTTGGTGTGGGATCAGTGGATGGTAGTTAACATGTTGAGTTGCTGACTGAAAGTTGGAGGTTCAAGTCCTCCAAAGGCTTGATGATCTTTATGATCTTTGGAAAAATCAGCCCTGGAAAACACTATAGAGTAAATTTTTATTCAGACACACCCAGGGGTCTCCAAGAGTCAGGCTTGATTCCATGGCCCCTGATTTAATCTTGACACGTTGCAAGGGGTTTTCCAACCAGGAACATGCCCATGAATTAATCCTCTAACAGATACCAGCATTCTAGAGGAACCTTGGCTTCAGCTCCTCTCTGCCCGGCTCTATGGGGTGAAGCAGTGTCCAAAGTAGAGGCTGGCTTGGACCGCCAAGATCTAATGGGAAATGGGTTGGGCTGTATTTCTGCCAAACAAGATTACAGCCTATAATCAACCATAAGCAAATGTGACAAGGAATAGCAAGGCTAGAATAATGTCTTCCTTCCTCCAGCATTGGCTCTGATGGCATTTAACTGTGTGGCACGTGTGGACCACTTTAAAGTGCAGCTTGTAAAAATCCTTGGCTTTGGATACGTGCACCTGAGCCATCGTCCCTGCACTCTGCACGGTGGGAACATCCATCGCTCAGTGCCCTGGCAGTTGCAGGAAGAATATTGTTTGGGGATCTCTAACTCGTGAGCTAGCTGCATTCCCAGCTGCTCTGTTATCTCCAGAATGGCTGGAGTTAGGAAGACTGAGTCTACTGGCTTTTAGGCTTGTTGAAGAGGCATAGCCATTTTAAGGTATTACAGTTTTTTTATGTTTTTATAAGTTTTTCAAAAGTCTGTGCAAAAAGCAAACCCAGGGTCTTGGTTCTGAGGTTCCCAAGACCACCCAGGCATACCATCAACGTGTTTGCTAGGAGGCTGCAGGGTGTAGTTTTACTCACGTCTGAGATTTGGTCCAGTGAGGATGCGCAGCTGTGTGGGTAAGGGGGGACGACATGGGTGGAGTCTGGAGGTGCCCACCGCCAGGCTCTCGCCGTCCTCTTCGAGGTCTCTCAGAGCTGACCCTCCCGGCAGCAGTGCTAATGCAGCCACATGCATGAGATATTTTTGCCCAAGGGAGCCTGCTTGGGATGTAGGAGCTTTTATGGAGTCACACGGGCCTTTTCTGCCCAGCAACCACCAAGAATCCGGCCTCCCAGCAGGAAAGTGAGTGTTCACCATTAATCATCACTGTCCAGACATTGAAGGCCCAGTGAAACGACCATATCAGTTAGCAAGGGAGAGAAGGTGCTGAAGGCCAAGTTCCCAGTCATCCACTGAGGCCTAAGCCTGCCTTTGAGCACGGCCTTCGGGAGGTAGCAGCCTCAGATCTTCTGCATTCACTTTGTGTGTGTGTGTGTGTGTGTGTGTGTGTGTGTGTCTAAGTCTAGCATACCATTTTTAGAAGAAACAGCTCCAGTAGGAAATGATGGCCTATCAAGTAAATAATCTTGGTTTTTGGCTGCTATCTTCTTTGTTAGCTCAGCATGATTTGTCCCTAGTGTAAAAGGTAAACACAGATTGGCATGGCCTGGCGGGCATATAGCATAACAGAGTTTCCGTTATGCTGTCTCTAGAATTCTATTTTTAAGTAACCGAGAAGGAAAGAGGACCTGGAGCTAAATGCCATGGATTGTTTAGCACAGGTGTCTCTCTGGCTGCCCCTCAAAGTCTTAGCTTCTCCACCTCCAGTTGGGGAACAACGTCTGGTTTCTCCAGTGCTGGTTTTGACTAGCTTCTCCATGTGTCAAGTCAGAGAAAACCTCACATTTTTAGGTAGTGTATGTTCTCTATCAAAGAGTTCTGGGGACAGAGGATAGGCACTCAGCTGTTAACCTAAACATTGGCGGTTTGAATTCACCGGCTGCTTTATGGAGGAAAGATGGGATCCCAGGGATCGAACTTGACTTCACAGCACTCAACAATACCATTAAGAGTATAAGGCCAACATCCTGACCTAGTGTAGACGGGATGCTTAGTGCTGACTGAAAGATGAATCTGTGAAAGCACCAACTGCACCACCACGGTCTTGTGATCATTTGCTGCTGCAACCTGACCTTGTATGCTTAATTAGCTCCGTTGCACCCAGCAACACACACACACGGGCTTTTGGCTCTTTGACTGTGGTTGAAGGAGCCCTGGTGACACAGTGGTTAAGTGCTGTGCTGCTAACTGAAAGGCCAGCATTTCAAGGCCACGAGCTGCTCTGCGGGAGGAGGATGTGGCATTCCGCTTCCACCCTGGAAATGCTCCGGAGCACTGGCCTGCGAGTCTGCCTGGCCTCCGCACCAGGGGAGTCTGTTCTATGTCAGAGCGCAGACACTTCAGTGAGATGCAACCAGCGGTTCAGAGAAGTTCCGCGCTTTGGCGGAAATAGGATTTTCACATATAAAAAACCGAATCCTGGCAACTTTGAGTAGCATTTTACACTGGGTTTCAGGATCCCAGCTTCCATCTTAGCCAAGACCTCGTGTGGAGAGACACTTTCTTCTCGTGGAATAGGACACAGGCTGGTGCCAGCTGACAGGAAGTTCCCCGCGGAGTCCCTATAATTGCTTGACTGTTTCTGGCCCAACCCACAGTTGAAAGGGCTTATCAGCTGAGAACACAGC